CCCACAATCTGTTGTTGACTAGCTCCTTCCCCTCTGGTTATCAGTTGAAATTAGGAATGGCTATGCATAGATAATCCTTCTATAGCTTTGCGTGAAATTATAAAACAAATAAAAACTTTCGTTTTTTTTCGACGTGTGATACAAGTAATACAACATATATTGTTGGTTAACGTATTAACTAACATTGTTTGTTGAAAGTGGCTGAGCCTGATTCTGTTGTATTAGTCCTTTGAACTTGTAATATAAGTAACACCACGTGTATTCTTGAATAACGTATTAACTAACATTGTTTAATGAATGTGGCTGTGTCTAATTCTCTTGTATTCGTCTTTTGAACTTGTAATATAAGTAACACCACGTGTATTCTTGAATAACGTATAAACTAACATTGTTTATTGAACGTGGCTGTGTCTAATTCTGTTATATTCGTCTTTTCAACTTGTATTGTTGGATAACGTATAAACTAACATTGTTTATTGAACGTGGCTGAGCCTAATTCTGTTGTATTCGTCTTTTCAACGTGTAATATAAGTAACACCACGTGTATTCTTGAATAACGTATAAACTAACATTGTTTATTGAACGTGGCTGTGTCCAATTCTGTTGTATTCGTCTTTTCAACGTGTAATGTAAATAGCTCCATATGTAATGGTAAATGCAGAGAAGTAAAAGGTTGTTTTAGGTATTCAGTGTCTTAGCGAACTCATCTTTCGCTACACTGTATGAAAGCTGCAAGAGTGAAAGACTTAATATCATAATAATTACAATTAACCATTTACGCTATTAACACATCTTATTAAATTTTAACATGAAAATATCTCGCTTTCCAACTAAATTAATGAATATATATTTACTTTCCGAAAATTATGGGTGTTAAGAGATTATTCGCAAAAGCAAAATATTACTTTACATAATATATATCTTTTAACGTAAATAACCGAGGATAGTTTGATAATAACAATAACACCCTTCTTCTGCGTGAAGCTACCTACCATATTCCAATCTCGACGTTACTGTAAGATATAATACAGTCATTGTCGTTTATAATGAGTAATAATTTTAATAAATCCCCAGGAGATGCATTTTGTTCAGGGAATATGGATTTTTGGAATTTATTACGAGTCTTGAATCTAATATTCACACTAAGAGCTAGTGCGTAAATTCACAAAGAGACTGTCTAACGTGCCACACCTCTCACGTCTCGGTCGCTGTAGCTAATAGGAAGTGCGTTGTTTCAAAACATCTCAGCTTCCTAGTTCGCTTTCTTTGTAATTACTCATGCACTGTTGCATCTGCTGAGGTTATGCTATATTTTTGTTCTCGCTATCGTTTATGGATTAGCATAGTGATGTTGTAAGAGATAAAATAAATTTGTGTGGACTATAATGTAATTTGTTGCAATGGCCTACGCGTTGGGGATATGTATTTGGATCAAATTTATGCTCTAATAAAAAGCTCCTTAATACCAGTGTTTCTGGAGATGCTGGAATATATCAATTAACATCCGTTCAAGAACGTAGGTCTATAAATATATCTATAATATTTTGTCCCCCATTAATCTGAGCTTTGTTTCTAAAGAAAACTCTTTTTGTTCTAAGCTAAACCCTCTATGAAGTCGTGTAAATCTAATAACGGACTACTTTAAAGAATGATCTGTTATTTCTTATAGGTAGATTGCTGTTATTCCATGCCCTCGATTATGTGACGTGGTGAGCTACTCTCGTCAACAACGACAGAATTACAAACGTTATTGTAAATATAAATGAATTTATTATGATTTCATTTCGAGGAAGTTATTTTATCAACGCATTCAGAACTCTAAGTCGAACGGCATCGTCCCTAAAGTTCGAAATCTTTCTTTCTCACGTGTTTTTCAATTTATCTGAGTACATGCAATAATAACATGTAATTTATTTCATCTTCCCCATACGAATGAGGATTTCGCAACCGCAAATGTCGCACTTGCTTTGTGACTTTAAAAACACGATCTTTTTTATTTTTTAATGGAGACAATATTTTGATATCTCTCTTTTATTCGGCATTGAATACCTTCCTGAGTTTAGTACTCGACTAGTTTAATTCTTTGAATAATAGTGAGAGAACTGTATAAATTATTTAACAAAATAAAGTTCCCAATTTTTCACTCATTTCTCTCCAACTCCGGTTAACATTGTTATGAAAATACGTTAATTTCAGATTTGCTTTTGAGATTCCTCTTAATTTACCCATTGTGGCTCGAAATCAGAGGTATGTAAAAAATAGCATTTCAGGTCTATCTTTGTTTATTCTACTGTAAGTCACTGCCCAATTAGTTTCAGTACTAGAATTCATTAGCTGTGCTGGACAATTCGAAAAAATTATTCTGTGAAACGCTGTTTATAAATGTTGTATAATACTTTAATAGATATGGCTAAAACGCAGAAAGGGACCGAATTATCAGAAAACCAAATGGCCCAAAAAATGTTATAAAAACAAGTTAACTGCAGATGTTATTTTTATTTTTATGTTTTCCCACATTCCTCTTAATTTGTATAATGTGGCCCGGTTAACATTTATTCGTTATATAAACACTTGACCTAGCTTATTACGAAATATAAATAATTGTACTAGACCCTATTTTTCAGTAAATGTTTGTCACACAGTCAACTTCCTTATCATTGTTCAGAAATAATAACTTCCCCTACAGCCTTTGTAGAACATGGTATTTTTAGGAGAAAACTTCCGTTTTGACACCAACCACTACAGGTGGATAATGTATCACTTAATACAATCAGGTAAAAAATGTGAATTCAGACCTCTTCTATATCGCATAGGCTTGCATTATACTAGATCCTGTGCTATTTCGAAATATAAGTTCTCTAAATGGACGTTTTGTGCATTTCTATTAGATAATGACACCACTCCCTGCTCGTTACACGTCCTTACTGACACTTCTACATTTCTGTCTATCTGTCAGTTAGTTTTTCATCTATCACTCATCTCTATTTTAATTATATAAAACTCTTTTATAAAAATTCCTCTAGTGAGCCTTATTTTTATCGCCAAAAAATAATTATTTTACAAATAAGACTTTTTTTCGTATATTTAATGCCACGTTTATTAAAAAGATACTTTAAGTTTCTGTATCATCCATTTTATGATATTTAACTGCTATAACAGCATAAGAATCATGAGGGCACTGTTTAAGTAATGATATCTAGATATGTGTGATTTTATTTCTATAACAATTGAGAATTAACAAGTGCATTTGACGAAAGTGTTGCACCTTCTTAATACCACCTATCAATTTTCAATGTCCTTTTATTTATGTAACAATTGAGAATTAACAAGTGCATTGGGCGAAAGTGTTGCACCTTGTTAATACCACTTATCAATTTTCAATGTCCTTTATTGTGAAATTGAAAAATATTTTTTATGAGTAAATTGGTTTTTTTTATTAAATATTACTTAATATTTCAATACAGGTTTTAACCACAAAGATTTCAGGAAGGCTGTAGGAGGAGCCACAAAGAAAGAATAATGCATTGCAGGTGTCTAAAATTACTAGTGAAGTTATGATGGAAACACCTTTTGAAACTCTGGTGTGAAGTAACTACAACTTTTTGAACATTAACTTAATTGAATCTTATCAACTAGTGCATAATAAGTTCTAGTCGCTGAAACGTATCATAAACAATGCGTGCATTTGGTTTTTAAAAGCCTACAGAAAAAGACATGTGAAAAATTGTTAGGTTTGCTTCTTTATTTTATTGCCTTGACATCAATGCCTTATCGTAACATCTGATGCTTTGTTTATGGCAGTTCAATAAACCTTAAAGGCACGTCTTTAGTGAGGTATGTGTTGTTATTTTTCACTTACACTACCTTTATAAAAAATGCACCAAACGACGTAAGCAAACGATCTTAGCAACAATATATTTTTTTATTGGCTCATTACTAGTTGACAGAGTGGAGAACTTCCAGCAAAAGTAGCTTGAAAATTAAACATTCTGATGACTAACATAGCATAAAAAACATGTCACGTAAATCGAATCATTATTTTGCTTCTCTGATTGAACAGCCGGGATAGAATTTATGTCATCATTCTTCCTGCCAATGTTTTTGTGTTATGGTTCAGATGGGTTGCTTTAGTACAACCAACCAGAAAAAAAAAAGAAGAGAGAGAGAGAAAACTGGGAGATCAGCAAGGATTTCAGTACCATTGTTAAACTTGATATTTTTCTATGTGCATATAAGTCTCTGCTCTCACAATAGCTGTTTCTCTCTGTTTCAGGGAGGTTACGCGGGGTTTCTTAGCTGCTTGCAGGTCTGCTGTTCAGAAGCTTTCCTCTATCCCTGAGGTAACTCGATACGCACATCTACAAAATGCGCTCTCGTGCGCGGGCGAGACACCACAAAAATAACAAACTGAAATATTCGATACACACGACCGTTATAGAGGTATTATTCGACGATAATGTACAATTTTCAGATAATACAAATTATTGGATAAAAGTTTTTCCAATATAAAGGTTGCTTTTAGTCGACACTTTACGCTCAATATGCGCGATTATTTTTCTTGGTTCTGTAAATGCATATTTCGTACAATAAGCATAAAGTACTTGTTCACCGAACAATAGTGTAAAGGACTGGTTCATCGTACAATACGTGTAAAGGATTGGTTTACCGTACATTTTGTATAAAAGGCTGGTTTACGGTAGAATACAGTACTCCAATAAATGTAAACCTGGTTTTAAATCGCGGAGTCAAAACTTTGCACAGTTCACTTACATATATGTTTTTTTATAATATTGAAATATAAGCTCAAAATAATTTTAGGAAGGATCATATCAGTTTCTTTACAAAACAAACGTCAGTGTTGCAATACGCAACAATCTTTCCCGATCTAAAAAGACTCAAAGTAGAAATCCCGACAGCTTAGCTCAATTATTCTTAATTCACACACACACACATAAAGACTCGTGTCGTCATTATTCCTTAAAGTATCTACTAAAACCTACCTAATGAGTACTTATGACGCTGTCAGAACTTCGGAATTCCTTTCCTAGATAACTTGGCAACAGAAGCCCAACAGTATTGACGTTGTTTTCTGTAGAGGGCGCCCAAACGTACGTATTCTCCAACGTCCAGGTTGCAAGCGTCGCGTCTCGATAACTGGATAACGATCGCACAAACCTGTTTATTTCTCGGCACATGCGATACTCTGGGTTTTAAACCTTTTTTGAAGGCATATGTTGCGCCGCCTAGTGGCATTCCGAGAGGTACGGCTCAGCTGAATTTACGTTGCTTGGAAAGCAAGCAGTAAACTTGTTGCAACGAAACAATAAGCAATTCTTTCAGCTAAAGTCTATATTTAAGGCTAACGTACTCGTCTAGAAACCCTACAAAAAGTGTTCAGGAGTCAACCCAACGTAGGACGTTTTATAAGAAAACACGTTTTCATCTTCGTCTCAAACAATGTGCTGTTTATTAATTATTTAACTGGGAATTATCAAAGTAACTTGGCTAATAAGTATTTTCTCAGACAGTTCGTGTTGAGTTTTTACTTATAAGCTATCATAACTAATTTCATTAGAACTCCATTCTAGCGTCTTTCTCAGGCAGAGTTTATTCACAATAAGACTTAGTATTAGAACTTGTAATATGTTTTCGTGGGGGACCTTCTGGCGTCTCACTGATAGCATAACATTATAATCATACCAATTTTGATGCTTTAATTTACTGATAGTATGATACACTATTCTCAACGGTAGTACATTACGATCATACAATAGTAATAATTTAGTGTCACTAATAGCAGAGCACACTATTCTCACTGACAGTACAACAATACATTCATACAATAGTTCTACTTTTGTCTCACTCATAATATAACACACTATTCTTACTGAGAGTAGAACAATACAACCATAGAAGTCTCACTGATAATATGATACACTAATCTCCCTTATCGTGAACCACTCTAGTGTTTCGTAATAGGGATCGTGGTATGTTGAATGCATCACTGGTTCAAATTAGATGTTTGTGATGTCAAAATACTAAGTCTATAGTTTCGTACGAATTAGGGACTCAAGTTACCGATATTGACAAGCTAGAATATAAAATAAGAACCTCATATAGTTTCTATTTGCTGAGATATCGATCATGTACTGAATCAATCACAGTGGCCCCACTCACCTCTTTCCATTTTTTGAAACGGTCCCTTATATATACACTTACTTTAATATATGACATGTGAATAACCAATCAAACGCTCAGAATGTCCCCTAGTGGCTTTCTCAGCCATTTTAAAGTGTTTGGACGCCACCTCGTTCTTTCGAACAAATATATCAAGGAGGTAAGTTGTGTATTTAGTCTGCTCGAAATTTCATATATTTTTAGATCGAAATACAGCTTAGTTACTTAGCTTGATAAATTATAGTGGAATTCTCTGGTATCGATATAGTAATTTATGATTCCTGGTTATTCAACTGTATATATATATATAAAACCTAAAAAGATTATTTCGTTTCATATTCTCCACGTGCGAAATTTTAAAAGGCTTAGCAACCTACGTCAAGCAGCAATCGAGTACAAAGATCGTAACTAGAAGAGATAATTGTTTGCTTTACTTCTTTATTTACTGTTCTGTGTTTTAAGAAAAATAAGTTCAAGAACTTATTTCTAAATAGTAATAATCTATATACATATATAATGTATAATAATTTAAATGTTGACTGTATTTTACAACATACTAGTATACTAAAACACAGCCATGACAGGTCAGTTATATATATTATTGGATACGGTAACATGAAAGCACGTGTGCCATGTTATTGTAACTTCTATATTGTTAACTAGGCACGGCTGAAAGATAAACATATTAAAAATAATAAATATATATAAATGTATATTGTTATGAGATTTAAGCTATTTAGTCTAAACATTTATGTTTTCGTGTTATAATTTGTTGTCATTCTAGAACGAAAGAGGCATAATTTATATTTATTTCCTAATTTTCATGGTTACAAGATCGGTCAAATCTACCAAAAATGTGGAAATAACAAAAAAAATATAAAGTTTTTTCCCAAGAAACATTTGATAACTATCTCGACATTTCGCATGTGAAATTTGAAAATGTTCTGATGCATAGAAATATTTTTAATCTTAAAATGAAAATTACTTTGCATGTTGGATAGGCAACATGAGAAAAGGGAAAAAAGGCATGAGAGAAACATTGCTTAACAAACCTTAAGACTTAATAAAAAAATTGATATTTTGCGCATGAATGCATTGTAATGTTTACTGATAACTTGCCAAATTTCGTTAACATACGCTTACTAATTTAAAAGTTATAGAATAAAAAATATAACAAGCACAAAATGGTCACGATGTCGGTCCCAGGAACAGAGCCCTTGCTGAAAGAGATACATAGAGATTTTAGTTACACATAAACTATAGATGCTCCCTATATTCTCAAACAAATCTTCATGACAATCTCCAGCTGCAGCTTAACATTTTACATCTTGAACTAATGCGATCAAATAGTCAATAGCTACAGTAAATCACCGTGAACCGTACCAGCTAGCTTCTAGCTATGTTTATCATCATTACAATGTATAAAGTTAGCTTCCATATCAAATAACCTATTGCTTATACTTGAGCATAAAAAATCCAGCAAACAAGATAAATAAAAAATTGGGAATATAAATTCTGACTCCACCAAATGTAAGTCTAGGTAACAACATGGAGCCAAAGTAAGGGTTTATAGTTTGAGTAAGTAATGTCTACAGTATCTCCAGCCTTGTTTTCTTGCTTTTTTTTACGGTCCATATTGGCAGGTTTTTAAATTCCCAATTTGTTATTTATCTTGCAATAAATATAACACGCTATTCTTACTGATAGTGCAACAAAGCAATCATACAATAGTAACTATTTTAGTCTCACTGATAATATAACAACTATCTTTACTGATAGTATAACACAATAATCTCCCTTATAGTAAATATAACACACTATTCTTACTGATAGTACAATATCATAATCATACCAAAAGTACTATTATAGACTCACTGATAACAGAGAACACTAAAATTGTACAAGCATTAGCGCTTACAGTACTATACAGAGTCTTATTTACAGTACAGCCGTAATATTTTCTTGGCTTAAAACAAAGATTAGAAAGGTTACAAAAATGTGTTGTTTTTACATATATGTGTGAAATGAATTTTTTTGTTGTTGATAAATTCATGGAAAGCTACAAACAAATATCTGCTTAAGTCGTGCATAATTTTGAGCTGATAAACTAGTTAATAGCACCCACTGGTGACTCTTGAGTCACTCTAAATAATGATGGAAATTTGTTATCGCTCTTATAATGCACCCATGTTTCCAAAGTGCAAAGCGCACTTTTGCGGCAACCGTACATGAACAACGAACCCTGAAATTCAGAGTCCGACATGTTAATCGCTAGGCCAAGACCGCCCTGAGTTAACTTGCAATTCTAATATGCATTTTTTAAAATTAATTTTGTCTGAATAAAATGTACCAATCTCCCTCTCTCTCTCTCTATATATATATATATGTATATATAATTATTTTTTGTATAACGATGAAAAAAACAGCAGGAGAATGTAAGTGCTTTATACTGAAAGGAATGTCACCAACTTAAATTAATTATTAAAAAAGTATTTGATGCTAAAAAGAGATAATAGAAGTGTGAAAAAAGTGTAAAACCTGCTCTTACCGAGATATCTTGAGTTTATGGTAGCAATGATTTCATTTACTTAGCTTAATCCGTATTCTTTACTTGTTAAAAATACTGCACGTCCACCTCTTTAGTCACACCATTATGCATTAAAACGCGTCAAAACATGCAACACACGCATGACTGCATATAGCTTTAGCTCACTGCCATCACGCGTAAGATGTGAAAATGAAATATGAATATCTTTTGTCCTTTAAGAAGAATGAATAAAGAATTTAATCTAACGTCCTTCCTGTGGAGCTTTTCAGCAAGAATGGCGTTTCTGAAATAGTTTATGATTTAGGTCGAGTGGTAATTTTCTTACTCAAGAAGTGGTGAAATTGCTAACCTTCTACAAAATTATTCAACGTAGTTTGTTTATAACAGACATATTATCTTCAAAATTAGCATAAAAACTCAGTTTTCAAATAGATTACGCGGACGAAATTATGACCAATTGTGTTTCTGATGAAATGCATGAGCAATAGCATATAAACAGTGTTTTAACACCTAGAATTAATAGTCAAAGTCTCTGAATGAAATACGGTGTTTTCTGTATGAAAGGGTAACGTGGGAATATCATTTTTATTACCATACTACGGTTTTAACACCAGTATTTGGTGGTCAAATACTCTGAATGGAATACGGTGTTTTCAATAAAAGAGTTTGGTGGTCAAAATTTCTGTATGAAAAAGTAACATGTGGACAGTGATTTCATTACCACACTACGGCTTTAACACCAGGATTTGATAGTCAAAGTCTCTAAACGAAATACGGTGTTTTCAATAAAAGAGTTTGGTGGTCAAAATATTTGTATGAAAGGGTAACATGTGGACAGTCCTTTCATCACCACACTACGGCTTTAACACCAGGATTTGATAGTCAAAGTCTCTGAACGAAATACAGTGTTTTCAATAAAAGAGTTTGGTGGTCAAAATATTTGTATGAAAAAGTAACATGTGGACAGTGATTTCATTACCACACTACGGCTTTAACACCAGGATTTGATAGTCAAAGTCTCTGAACGAAATACGGTGTTTTCAATAAAAGAGTTTGGTGGTCAAAATATTTGTATGAAAGGGTAACATGTGGACAGTGTTTTCATTACCATGGTATGATAGTCGAAGTTCCTGAGTGAAAAAGTATGAAATATACATCGTGTTTTAAATACCTCACTTTGTTAATGAAACTTTCTGAATGACACAACAGCAGTATGTAGTGTTTTCAATACCACAATTTGATAATAAAAGCTTTTGAATGAAAGAGTAACAGTATGCACATTTTTTCTTGTTTGGTGGTCAACATTTCTGAACGAAAGTACACTGACAGCCTTATCTGCACTAAAAGATTCATGGACCTGAAACTGTATGTCACTGTAAGGTTAAGAAACCAGTACAATAACCCCGGTTTGACTCATATATATATATATATATAATGGTCTTTCACTGGA